CTTCAGTGTGTACACGCACCAACTAAATACTCCAACGCGATAAGGCTTAACAGAGGCAAACCGAGTCCAACACATTTTTTAAAAAGAATTTCTCAAATCGTTTGAGTGTAACGACACTAAGACGTGGAAATGTACTGAATAAGACTTCTCCGTAACTTATATGATGACGAACATTTAAGAAAACCACGAAGTCATGCGATAAACCTGCATAGGAACGTGCGTTTACAGTAGCGTTTTGATATTCAGATATTGCATACACTTTAATACAGATCTTTAAATCGGTCTTTGAGATATAACGTAAGCGACAATTTATCACATTACAGCCGGCATCATTGGATTACTTTTCACATTACAACCGGCATCATTGGATTACTTTTATTCTCGCAGTGCCAATTTAATGTTATGCTTATAGCACCGGCCCAGTTCGGCTCCCAACGTACAGGCACGTGTAACCAAGGAATGAAATCAACATCCCTATTCTGAATTTCGAAATTTTGAAAATAGCATTTGACCTTTTAAACAAAAACAAAATTAAAAACGTATACCAAATATCCATTGATCTAATGATGTGTGTAGCGTTTGTAAATGTTAAAAGTTGTATGTGTCCGCTGAGACTAGCTTCAAAACGACTCAGATAAAGAATTACTTTTTTTCAGGATACTTGAACTAAGTAATTCGTATGATAAGCTCTCGGATATGATACATCACAAATGGCGTGGAAGTTTAATGGATAACTTGCTCTAATTCCAGATTGTTTTATCGTTATTTACTTAGACTCTTTTGTGACGCAGAATGTAGTTGGTTGACAACTAGGATTTTTCAGGACATTCAATAATATATTTTTAAAACAATTATAGGCCTACATAAAAAGAGATAATTACAATTACAAGTTATTTTTTTTTTCTTTTATAGGGAAACGTAATTGTGAGTGTGATAAAGACTAATCTTTTGATAACTTTGACAATGAAACTTTTAAAATGAATGCTGCTTCTGCTGCTATCTTTGGGGTCAATTAAAAACGAAAGTTAGCGGTGGAATCACTGGGAACACGAAATCAGCGTGCATAGCTAGCTCCTAATTAATTTAAGGAAGACTTGGTGTCTAGACCAAATTAGCTTCGGAGAAGAGACAGATGTCTAGATCAACAGAGGGTTTACATTTCTGCCGAGACTAAGACATTTTAGCATGTAAAAGACAGAAGTTTCAGTTGAACAATAGAATAACTATTTTAGGCCGTAACCGACCAGAGTTCAGATCAACATTGAGTATTGCATTTGTAACGACTTGATAAACACAAGTCAAACGCAACATATTCAAACTCTTATTAGGCCGTGAAAGACAGAGGATGTCTAATTCTATAGCATATATTCAATTTTTAGTCCGCAAAAATACAGAATTTCAAAATCAACTGGTACATAACACATTTCGGGGGACGCTGAAACGACAGCCTAGATCCTGTCAAATTTACCCCTAAAGAATGGCTCCAACATCAAGAATTAGGTTTAGTCATTTCTATGACCGAAAACGGTCACATCATGTGACGTAATGTAACTATTTTTAGACAAGGTTTGTGTAAAACATGGCTGCTAACAACCTTTTTCAGTATATATATATATATATATATATATATATATATATATATATTATATAGCAGAAACAATTTTTTGGTGAAAACTTTCGTAAATAAAGTGGTAAACCATTTTTAGTCTATGTTGAGACCCCCCGCGCTGACATGTGTAAAACATGGCTGCTAACAACCTTTTTCAGTATATATATATATATATATATATATATATATATATATATATTATATAGCAGAAACAATTTGTTGGTGAAAACTTTCGTAAATAAAGTGGTAAACCATTTTTAGTCTATGTTGAGACCCGCCGCGCTGACTAACATTAGCGCAGACACACCAAACAACCGCAAAGAGATTGGCCAACCGGAACACCCGGATGTTTTGTTGACATCTTTCCACCATTTAATGAGATTGACCAAACGGAAGTCCCGGATGCTCTATTTTTATTTCTGCGTCAGTGCTTCGGTATGTGGGGGGATTGTTGGCAACATAATAACTGTCTTCGTGTTGGCCCGCCATGGGCTGAAACACTCGACGAACCTGCTCTTGATTTCCGTTGCTGTGTGCGATGGTGTATATAATCTTCTCTTCGACATCTTAGACGAGCTGAACGAATTCTTCGTCACGATTCGTCCCGACCCTCGTTATGTCGGCAACCCGTCAAAGACTACAGCCTGTTTCGCTCCGTGGTGAAAGAGCTGCCCCTTGGAATGCCAGCTTTATGCTCGTGGCTGTACTTCCGGTGGAGAGAATGGTGACCGTCTTGTTCCCCTTTCTCATCTCCCGAGTTTTCACAACACCTCGTGTGAAATGTCTGATCGCCGCTGTTCCGATC